TTTGGGTTTAGGGCTTCGGGTTGAAGGTTGAAGGTTTTAGGGTTCAGCGTTGAGGGTCCAGGGTTCAGGGTGTTCGGCTTTCAGAAGGGTTTAGGTGCTGAGGGTGTCGTTTTTTTGTTTTTCTCTGTGGGGTGTCAACCCTAAACGCCTGCTTTAGGGCTGGAATTTCCTGTCAATCAGTTGGGCTACACCTGGTGTGTTTGCTTGGTTTGTGTTGATCTGGCGGGTGCTACACATGGCGTGTCGTTTTTGGGTCTTGAGGTTTAGAGTGTAAGGTGTAGGGTTTCGGAGGTACACCGAAATGATCATTAGAGTTTCCAGTCAGCGGCCCTCCGAGCCCTAAATGCTTCATCCTCGAGCCTCCCCAAGGCCCCCCTGAAATGCCAAGCCCCCCCCCAAAACCTGTGTTACTCCAGTGCCCCAGTACGAAAGGGTTGAGCCGAGATACATCGAAGCCTCCATTTAGCAATTCCATTTAGCAATTCCATTTAGCAATTTACAGATTTATGGCCGACACCCGCAAAGCATTGCAAAAAGCCAGCATTTCCATGGCAAAGGACGGCCCCCACCCTTCTTTCAGGCATCAACGCCGACCAAACACTTCGGCCGCTGTGTTTCGAAGTCTCGGGAACACGATGACGCGAGCCGCGATGCAGCTTGCCTCGGCAGCTACACGTTTGTTTCGGGTGGAGGGTCCCCTGCAAATTCAGTTTGCCAGGGTCGACAGTGTTTTGGGCCCAGTGTTTGGGGATTAGGCTTCAGGGCTCTAGGGCTTTATTTAGGCCTAGGGGTTGGGGGTTTAGGGGTTTAGTGACTTTAGGAGTTTAGGGGTTAAGGGTTTAGGTTTAAGTTAAGTAAGGCGTAGATAGAGCTTAGCGCTGAGTGCAGCATTGTCCACGTTCCTCACCCGCGTTGCCCAAAGTCAGAGGTGACAGTTTGGGGTTTAGGATTTAGGTATAGGGGTTCTTCCGCAGCTACAGACTCACCAGAAGCTACAAGAGGCCGCCACGAATTCACAGGCCATACGCTCGTGGCTTTGATGTTGAAGCCCCCACGCCGCACAATACGAAACCTCCAGTGAAACTCTAGCCCCTAAGCCCCAAACCCTAAGCCCCAAACCCTAAACCCCAAGGGGGGCGGCTTCCCAAAGAAGGCTCATAGGGATGTGTTGAGCGTTTAAGGTTTAGGTTTTAGGGTTTAGGGTCTCAGGTTTTTAGGAGCCAAAAGTATCGGGACTATGGACAGTTACCTCGCCTTTACCCCGCCAATATCCTGCCGTTAAATGCCTACTTACAACTACCCATGAATCTCCAAGTAAATAGGGTCTGAGGTTTCTGTCTTGGAATTTAGGGTTTCAGATTTTGGATTGTGGGTTTCAGGTTTTGGGATTTAGGGTTGCTCGTCTAGGCTTGTTAAGCCGTGCAGTTGCGCAGCTCAAAGAAGCTCGTGGCTTGCAAGGGATGAAGACGCCTTGTAGACGAGATCAAGCCAAGGGTTTCAGGTTTAGGGTTTAGGGTGCTTTAGGGGCTTATCTCTTGCACGAGAAAGAAGGGCGCCGAAAAGCCCGCGGAATAAAACTCTAGGGTTTGGGTTTTTAGGTGTAGGGTTAACCCTAAACCCTTTAGAAAGTAGGCAAGGATCGTGCATGGGAGGGTAAGTAGGCTCTATGGTTTAGGGGCGTGCGCTGGCCAACCCCCGAAACCTTAAACCCTAACGCCCGAAGCCCGCCAACCTAAGCAGTTTGCGTCCTCCCCGACCGAAACCCTTTGAACTGGGCTCCTCCCTAGGCCCTAGAGGAGCCCTACCCCCGACACCCAAAACCCGTCCCCCACCCAACCCCTAGTTTTCTACGTAGCTCTCAGGATTTGCCTAAGCCCGCCTCAGACGTTGGGGTGCAGGGTTCTGGAACGACGTTTGGGAGGGGCTCTAGTCCTCTAGGCAAACAATTATGGACTGCATCAACACAGTTGGGATCGTCTATTTTGAGTACTTGCTAGACGTTCAGAAGGCATCAGTAGTCATCATGCTGAAGGGCAGGACTATGCAAAAGCCACGTCCAGGGTCTGGGGTTTGAGGTTAAGGGGCTTAGGGTGGACAGGCAAACAAGAAGCACGAAAGCCAGTCCAGTGCTGAGTATTCCTTGTTTAGGGTTGAGGGTTGAGGCTTAAATATGAAACAGCGCTGAGCAGCGATCCAATTATTGCTGAACTTTGCCTTGAGGCCTAGGGTTTATTTTAGCGTTTAAGATTAAGATTCTGAATATTGCTTTGAGGCCCGTTTCTTGGGGTTTGGGTTAAAGGTTTAGGGTTCAGAACTTTGCCTTGAGGCCAAATTTTTGGCTTTAGGGTTTGTGGTTCCTGAACATTGCCTTGAGGCTTGTTTGGGGTTTAGGGTTCAGGCTGTTTGGGGTTTATATAGCTTGAGGGTTTGGAATTTAGGGCTGAGGGCTTAGGGTTCGAGGGTAGGATTCAAGGTTTAGGGTTTAGTCTACGTTAAGTTTCGATTTGGGGCTTGGGGTCTTTGAGGTTTGCGCATTACCTTGAGGCCGGGGTCGAGGATCATCCGGGCTTGAGGGGGTTTTGGGGTTTGGGGTGAGGATGATTTAGGGTTTAGGGTGTAGTGTGGAGTTATTTGCGCTAGGGCTTGGCTTGGGGGTTCGGGGGCTTAGGGGTTGAGGGGGTCAACCGGGTTCCCATCGAGATCTGATGTCGATGTCCCTCCTCCCAGTCTGGACCATAGAGTTGAACTTGAATTCAACCTGGATTCGAGGCTTCTGAGGAGGAGCTTGACGATTTCTCAGGGCAGTGATGGGATGGTGGGTCACAAGCCCTTGCCGCTGCAATTCAGATTTTTAGAGTTGCAGTCCTCCCTGGGCGGCCAGTTCCCACGTGACAATAAAGGACTGCAGCCGTGAATCGGGCGGAATCCAGGAGAATAATTCCAGCATCTGAGCGCGGGAAAAGGTGTTCTGGAAAAAAGAGCTGCCGGGTGTCCGGTAGACTAAATGTCTGGCCTCCACAAGTCTACCGGACTGATGTGAATTGAAGGTGCAGGGGCCTCTACCGTCATTGGCATGCCTTCCAGACAGACTGATAGATTCAGGCATCATGAGACTATTGCATTTCTTTAAACACATCGTAGCTGTAGCTGAATCTATATAATCTAACTCTCCGTCCATTCAACAACAGAGAGCCTTAATGCGCCAAAGGGTCTAGCCACAAAAACACAGAGATCCAGCCTTAATGTGCCAAAAAGACATTATGTTCCCTCTCAGCCGTTGGGTATGCTTGACGTTCCTGCTGGTATGGCGTATCTCATGACCACATACCTCCTCTCGCGCAAATCGTCTCGCATCTTCTTCCACGTGTAACGACTCTCATAACGTCTTGACCAGATCTTGTGATCCGTGTCTCGCCGCAGTCATGTCTGGCGCCTACTTAGTCTACTTTCACATGTTTGGTCTCCCGAAATCGTCCTGTTATCCCCATGATCTCCC